GCTCCTTGGTGGGGGCTCTGCGGCGGCCGCGAGAGCGGAGGGGGCTGCTGCACCCGTGCCAGGGAGAGCGGGGACAGGGACGGGGACGGAGCGGGCTGCAGAGGATGCTCGGAAAGGACCCAGGTCCGGAGCAGCATCCCATTGAGGGGTGCCGTGGCGGCTGGGGGAGGGCAGAGGAGGTGGGATGCTGCCTCTGCTGCCAGAGTTTCTTTGGGGTTTACCCGGGCTTCTCTCCACAGGGAGCAGCAGGCAGAGCTGGTCGGGCTCCCCACGTCTCCGGATGAAGGTAAGGGCAGCCCAGGGTGGGGATGGGGGGAAAGGGGTGGTTTTTGCACCCTCCCTCCCTGAGCAGCATTTGCACGGGTCCAGCAGGAGGGTGTCCCCTGGCCTGGCAGCACCTGCCTGCAACCCCACACCCCTTCTAGCCCTGGGACCCCAACCCCGTCCCCTGGATCTGCCTCGCCAGCTGTAACCCACCCGCTGCACCAGATCCCCCGCCTTCCTTCCCCTGCCCTGGCCCAGCCTAGTTGCAGCTCCCTTAACCCCGCAGGGGTATTTTGGGGGACACCTGCCAGCCCGTCCCCCCCGGGAGTCTGCAGGCTGCAGAAATGCCAGAGGTGTTTTCAGGGGTCTCCCTTGAAGTGGTGTCAGGTTGGGGAGGGGATGCTGCTGCCCAGCTCCCACCACCTTTTCTGTCCCCAGGGAGGATGACCAGTCCCCAGGGGCACCCAGATGGGGTTTCGGTCAGGAGCAAGCAGAGCGTGGAGCGCATCGGCGAGGTGAGAGAGAGGGGAGGGCAACAGGTTGGAGGGGGCCTTCCCTCCCCGGCCCCTTGGGCTTGGCCGGACCCCCAGCCTCTTGGTGCTGCTCTTTTCGGGATGCCATCCAGCACCAGGGAGGGGTTTGCTCTGACAGCGCCCTTGTGTCCCCCAGGTGCCAGGCAGGGGCAGGCAGGAGCTGGCTGTGCGCACTGGGGACAGTGACAGGACCGAGGAAGGTGGGTGAGTCCCCATCCCACGTCCCAGCTGGGTCACCTTAGGGGAAGGCTTGAAGTAGCTGGGGACGAGCGTGGGAACAGCATGGCCTGGTGGGGGTCATCTCCCTTGGTGGGGACATGGGGAAGGGGGGACTGGCCTGGGGGGACCTGAAGCCCCGCTGATGCTGGGGGAAGGATTGGGACAGTCCCACACCACAGGCACCTGCTCCCTGCCGGGACAGGAGGGCAGAGGGAGGAGGAAAGGCCAAGGAAAAGCCTTCACGTGTGGTCTCTCCCGTGGTGTTACTGCCTCCCTGCAGATGCAGAAATGCCGGAGGAGCCGCTGCTGAGTTTCCCCAGTGAGCTCTTGGTGCTGGAGAGATTAGGCTTGCACAGGTAAGACCAGTGAGCACCTGCATCTTTCCAGGGTCTATGGGACAGGGGGGTCCCAGGGCACCATGTTGTCCAGGGATTGGACTTTCCTCCTTTTTCACTGCACAAGAGCCGCTCTCCAGGCAAGGGGCACTTGGGTCCCCACTTCTGGTGGTGCCTGGCATCCCTGGCACCCCTGGGAGCAGACCAAGGGCATTTGCAGCGTGCAGTCCCTGTGGTGCCTCTATCTCTGACAGCATTTCTCTTTCTGCAGGGTGGCTTTGACGGAGCAGGACGTGGAGGTGAGGGCTGCTGGGGGCCGTGGGTGGGCCAAGGAAGGGGGCCAGAGGGACCGACACCTTGCTGGCTCACAGTCCCGGGGCTGTGCCCTGCTCCTGGCCGCCCTCCAGGCACCGCAGTCCCCTGGCAGCCGCCTTACAAATCCCTTTCGGGGTGATGCTGTTGGCATTCAGAGGTAGCTGCATTTCCACAGCAAGATGAGCCCATCCTCTGCACGCCCGGCAATCCCACAAAGTGCTCTGCAGCTCACCAAGAGCGCCCTTAGCCGGGGAGGTGGTGGAAGCCGTGCTAATAAAAATAATTTTCCTGTGAGTGCCAGGGCTGAGTCAGGCTCTGCTGTCAGCCGGGACCTGCAGCAAGGGCTGGCGTCTGCCCGGCACGTGCTCTTGCCAGGAGGGCTTGGGATTTCCATGCATTATCAGCTGCCTGAGGGAACGTGTCTCGGTCAGGCTGGCATCTCATGGGGACTGTCCCCAGCGTGCAGCAGCCTAACGGGTGCTGGCACAAGGCAAGTGCTAATTATCCTTAGCACTGTCCTGCTTGGTGGCATGCTAGGGGGGTCTGTCTGTGCCTTGGGGACAGCAGCGCATGGTCCTGGTGGCTTCCCCTTTGCCCCGTGTCCCACCTCTTGCCCTCCCACCCCGCAGGCAGCCTTTGCCCATCTCGCCCTGGCTTTTCGCTGTGACACATTCACCCTGCAGCAACGGGTGCAGGTGGAGAAACGGGCACGGGACGCGGCGGAGGAAAACATCCAGGAGGAGCTGGGGCAGTGCCGGGCTGCCCTGGAGGTAGGTGGCCACGAGGGCAGGAGGCTGGCATCTGCTGGGGACTTCCAGCTCCGGAGGGGTTTGGACAACTCAGAGTCCTCGCTCCAGCAGCTCCATCCTCCCCCTCTCCCTCCACAGAGGCTGGGCCCATCCTGCACCGATGTGGGCTGCAGGGAGACGCTGGAGCAGCTGCACCGCAGAGCCGTACATCAGGTCTGTGCATCATTTGTGGCTCCCCGCCGGGGCTGGGAGGGTTGGAGGGTGCTGTGGTGGGGACCCATCCCTGGGTTTGCTGGGGTCTGTCCCTCCTCCCTCCTCCGGTGCCAGCGCTGCAGAGAAGCTGGGAGCCGTACATCAGGTCTGTGCATCATTTGTGGCTCCCCGCCGGGGCTGGGAGGGTTGGAGGGTGCTGTGGCTGGGCATGGGGACCCATCCCTGGGTTTGCTGGGGTCTGTCCCTCCTCCTCCTCCCGGTGCTGGCATTGACCTCATGTTTGCACGTACAAGGGTGCAAGGGATCTGCCTGCCCTTGGGAGCAGAAAGGGGATGCATTTGCATCCCCTGGGTGGAGGCACCGTGGGGTGCACAGTGAGGGACTGGCAGGGACACGGGTCCTTAGGGACCAGGAGATGGGGGGCCTGATCCCCCATCCTGCCTGGCCACAGGAGGCCCGGATGAGCCGAGCAGCGGAGGTGATGGTCCAGCACGTGGAGAACCTGAAGCGGCACCACATGCGGGAGCACGCGGAGCTGGAGGAGATGAAGCGCCTGATCCAGCAAAACTCCCGCAACCGGCAGCTGGCGGAGACCCAGGGTGAGGTGGGCTCTGCTGCCAGGGCCCGCGTGGGGTTTGCATGGGGCAACCCTTCAGGATTTGGTCCTGAATCCCTCCAGGGGGTCAGCGTGACCCCGCACCGCAGAGCCTGGCGGGTTGTGTGAGCTGGGGACCGGGGGCAGGTGACAGCTGGGACCCGCTGACAAATGCGAGGGGCCGGTGTAACAGCAGACGCAGTGTGGGAGCAGGTGCTGGTGGCCGGAGAGCCATCATCTCGCGGCCCCGCTGGGAATGCGGAGCAGGGGGGCACGGGACACACAAAGGACTCTCTGTCCCTGGACACCAAACCCCACGCACGCCATCACCATGCATGCGAGCAAGATCCCCCCGGCCGGGGCACCCCTGTGACTTGTGCCAAGCACAGAGCATGTGGCCAGGACAGCTTTTGATGGGAGGGAGGTTTGCAACCATCTGTGCATCAGCCACAACTTAATTTTTGGGGGTGATGTAAGGCTGCTTCTCTTTGCTCCCAGACGATGCGGAGCCATGGCTGAGGCCTCACCCCCTGATGCGAACTTTCCAGCAGGTAACTGGGTCCCAGTTCAGCAGCCCCTGAGCCACTGCCTCCCCGTGCCCTGCCGCTCTCCCTTGCCCAGTGGTCCCCATGCACCCGCTAGTCCCCGGGCAATGCCACTCCTGCCAGCTGCTTGCTGCGGCCAAGGTCTGCTAGAAATGCTGGGGATGAGGCAAAACATAGGGGTGGCCTCAGAGGGCTGCGGGGAGACAGGGTACCTGGGGATGGGGAGACAGGGTGCCCGGGGTTGGGGGCTGCTTGTCCAGGAGATCTCAGGCAGGTCCCTCTGCATTGCAGGGTCATAGCACGAGAGCCGCAGGCTTGGCTGTTCTCTAGCACCAGCTCGAATTCGGCACTGATTCCCCTACAGCTCAAGAGGTAGGGGAGCGCTCGGGGAGGGGGTTAGGCAGCCCCACCGGCACGGCTTGAAGCAGTAAGGACAGGCGCAAATCTCTTGGCTTTGACCTTCCCTCATCTCACCAGCTCTCCAGCTTCCCCCCTTAGCGCCACGGCCAGTGGGAGGCTGGCAGCGTCCCTTCTCCTCCTCGGTGTCCCTTGCCTGTGCTGGGGAGGCGATGGGGAAGGAGGGGATGGGGAGCATGGGGAGGCAGCCGGCACGGTGCTCACCCCCAGCCCCTCCATTGCAGGGGTCTGCCCGCCGCAGAGTCAGCATCGCCGTCATCCCCAAGCAGTTCTTGGTAAGGACACGCGCAGGGGGGACGGACAGGAGCTGTGCCCCGCTGTCGGACATGTGTCCCCAGGCTCGGTGCTACCGGGGGTCTGGGTCCCCACTGATGCTCCTACCTTTGGTGCCCAGCCAGGTGCCAGCCCTGACAGCCGAGCAGCCCCAGCCAGTGAGCTGGAGAGGGAGGGGGCCCAGCGCCAGCCCAGCACCCAGAGGTAACCACGCTGGGTGGCGGGGAGGCCATGGCACTGGCTGCCGCTGGCCCATGGGGCACAGCACAGCACCCTGTCCTCTCCCTCCCCAGGAGCGAGCTGGACCTGCAGGGCCAGGGCAGCGCTGTGACCAGGGAGCCGGTGGCCGAGGCAGATGGCAGAGGCTCAAGTGCAGGGGACGAGGAGCCGGAGCAGCTTGGGCTGACGTGAGCAGCACCCTGCGTGTGCCCAGCATCCCCCCCGCAGCTGCTGGACTCTCTGTGGTCCCATGGTGGCCGGCACATGGGAAATGGGCTGGGGGATTAGGTGATGGAAGGCTGGGATGTTGCTTGGCTGCCCCAGCTCGACCTTGCTCTGCCTCAGTTTCCCCCATGCATTGCGGGTCACGTGTGCCCTCCCCGGGCTTGTTGCATTTGGGTTTGCAAAAGGGCCACTGAGGTTTGGGGTTGAGTTAAACACCCTCCTCATCCCCAGCTGGGTCGGAGGTGGGATTTGCTCTCCCTCCTGGATGATGAGTGTCCCTGGTTGCCTTTTCCCCAGGTCCAAGGGGTCCCCGACGGAGCTGTGGCGGCCATGGCTCTTCCTCCCGCAGCACTACTGGGTTTTCTTCTGGCTGCTTCTCCTGAGCATCGCCTTCCTCCTCCTCGTCCGCGTCCTGGAGCTGCAGCGGCTGCAGCCTGCGGCATCACCCAAGGCCTAGCCGGAGCAGGGAGGGGGAGGCGGACGGGGGGCACCCACTCTCCGTCGCTGCTCCTTCCCTGCGCTGTAAAACACTAAAACCCTAGAATAATAAAATGGGAGGAAAAAATGGGGGAATTTTCATGCTGGAGCAGGGGGGAACATCCTGTGCTAGGATCTGAGGTTTGGTTGGAGCCACCTTACAGGCGTGAAGGGCTCAACCCTCATCGATGCTATGAGTTTGCCTGTTCTCTTGGCACACCGAGGGGTGCAGGGATGGCACCGCGCGTCCCCCTGTGCTGGGGACAGAGACCGGGCTGCCCACGGCCGGTGGGTTTGTGTTAGAGCCGTGTCCCACTGTGCCAGCCAGGCACCCTTCACCACGGCACGTCCTCGGTCCCTGCTGCCTGGGGAGCTGTAATTAAGATCTAATGCTCGTTTGCTGCTTCCCCGGGGGACAAAGCTGGGGCTGGAAGGAGCGGGTCAGTGTTCGGACTTTCCCATGGCACCACAAAGGGCTCACAAACAGAGGGAGCTGTTTCCGACCGCTCCGGCACCTGGGAAAATTGCCTGGTTTGACACAGACGCCCCGTTTCCGTGTCCGCCCTGGCCTCTCGTGGCCCCAA